ATAGATAGATAGATAGATAGATAGATAGATAGATAGATAGATAGATATTAGACTATTATATAAACTCTATATTAAATCCCAAATTATTTATTTGTGTAAATTATTTCAGATTGGTAGTCTCTAAATTCCTTCAAATTTAGTTATGCTCCTATATGTTGCAAGTCAGTGTGCCGTACATAAAATTTGTAGATTTTTTTCACATAAATAACAGCTTTTGCACTTTATTTATTTATTTATATTTTAATTTGACCTTCTCTATTTTGAGCTGACTCTCCATGTTTTCTTTACAACATCGCATAAAAATAATTGCTCGTATTTTGATTCAAGTTTGAGACATGTTGGAGTTGCTTTACTTGCTTTTGTGAATTCCTGCTAAATTCTATGGGGATGCTCAACTCTCATCTTATTCAAGGGTTTCTCTTGTGAGCAATCTCTCACAAAGTGAAGTCATCTCAGTCTGTGTGAATTTTTCATTTTGATTAAGCCAAGCGTGCTCCACCCACTATTGATTTGGCTGTCATACACTGCATTGCAATCAGTTATTTAATGTATACACAGCAGGCAATGAAAGCACAAAGTCTCTGTAAGTTATAGCTGGAGTGTGTGCTTTTTGAATCAGTTCATAATGTTTCATATGACTGAAAACACAAACATGGTAATCCCATTGATACCAAGAGAAGCAAACACTCATGATCTTGTATAATCAATGTGTGTCAGTAGCTATATTTGGAACAGAACATCTGCAACTGCCCAGGCATTTCCCTGCTTTCTTTGTCTGTCTCTGGCCTTCAAGCCTTCATGGGGATGTTCTTATTTTCTAACTGGCTTCTCTTTTAAACAAACCTGGAAAATATTCATTTTTATAGAGAGCAAAGCTAAGCCAGAAACCACCAATGTATCTTTATCTCCCAGATTAAGTTAAGGTTTAGGCCTCAGCAGAGTGTGGCACAGAATATCACAGTATTTGTTACAACTTGGGTTCACAGCTCTCTCACTTCACACAATAATAGTTTGCATGCTCTTCCACCAACATATGCCGACCACCATCAAAATAAAAACAAAAGTTACATCTTAAAAAGACAAATTTACTCTGCAAATCCTATAATCTGCTGTCTGTCTGTGTTTGTGTGAGAGCCTAAAACCCAATTCATGTGACTGTCAGTGAAATCTCTTTACACTGACTTACATAATGCCACTGCAACATCTGGAAGTTCCTCTCTCGCAGCTGGACTGGAAATAACATGTGAGATTTTAATGTGGGATTACCATAGGCTTGCATATCAAAAATAAGTGAATGGCATATTCAACTGAGATTACCTTTCTAGTCCTTCATTTGGAATTTAATTCTGCTTTCAGCTATTGGTTGTTGTTTAATTTAATATACTTTTGGCCTTGTGAATTCTAGATGGGGGCCTTTCAGGGTGGAGTTTGCATGTTCTCGCCGTGCATGCATGGGTTTTCTCCAGGTACTTCGGTTTCCTCCCACAGACCAAAAACATGCATGTTAGGCTGGTTGGTAACTCTAAATGGTTCCAAGGTGTGAGTGAGAGTGAATGGTTGTTTGTCTCATTTGTTTCTGTCCCTGTGATGGACTGGAGACCTGTCCAGGATGTACCTTGCCTCTTGCACAGTGACTGACGGTATGGCACCAGTGACCCCTGCGACCCTAAAAGGAAGAAGCAGGTAAAGAGGATAGTTGTATGTATGTATGTATGTATGTATGTATGTATGTATGTATGTATGTATGTATGTATGTATGTATGTATGTATGTATGTATGTATGTATGCATGTACTGTATATATGGGTGTGTGTATGCATGTTTGCATGGATGGATGGATGGATGGATGGTTTGGCTTTGTGGAGCAGAAGCCATATTTTGCTCTGTTGTCACACTCGATTACGCCTAGCTGAAAAATTGTGTCTGATGATACGCATCTTTGTGCTGGCCAGTGGTCCACAATACCCTCAATGTCTGTAATGGAAATGGATGTCAAGGCACAAGATAATGCCTGGATACCTTCCAAGCTTTGAATTGGATTTAATTTATTTTGCAATCTTGCAAGTGCTTTGAAGAGCTTTAAGGTAACATCTTAAAATTCTTTATCATACTGCACAGTGAAGCATAGTGCACTTTCCTTGCAGGTGTGGCCTTGTACACTTACAGAATAGCTGATTGTATCCTGACATCAAGACAGTTGGAAGGAATTGGCTTGCTGGTAAGTTGCCTATATCTCAGCTTTTGGATGTTTCTTTTTTTTTTCACCTCAAACAAATGTTGTGGAGGTGAAAAAAAAATCACTTTACTAAACTCAAGTGCTGCTTTTAAACTTGTAAACTTGTATAGTTAATAAAATGATGAAATAATGAAAACGATGAAATGGTTTTGATTACAAACGCTTGCACAGTTGTACAAGAGGAAATATTTTGCCCTGGTGCATTTACAAAGTACAATAGAAGCTTTTTGTTTTTAGTTTATTCAGATGAGTTCCTCATTAACGACAGAGTATACAGTTCCTTTCCTTTATTTTTCACCAACTATCTCTAATAATAGCACTAATTGAAAAAGTTCTTCCTCTCACCCTGATTCTCTCCATTCAACGTCTGTTAGCTCAGCCCCCAGGTGTGTGTGTGTGTGTGTGTTCGTGTGTGTGTGTGCCTTTATGTCTGTCTTGTATTAGTGTAGGTATCTGTCTAGCAGTGAGGATAAAGACTCTTTAGGGAGTCCAACTGAAATAGTTCTTCTGCCTTTTAAGGTTATATAAAATTAATGGATTGGCTTTTTAAATTGGCCGACTGAATCAATACCAAATGGCTGTTAGTCAAAAATAAACAACGCAGTTCTTTCAAATGAAGAGAAACACAAAATGTATAGAAGGAGGAATTGTTTTTTGTAGTTTGCTATATGGTCACCTTTTATAGACCGGCAGCAAAAGATAAAAAAATTGTGAGAAGTGATATGTGGTGTGTGTCTCCATCTTGTGGAAAAGTGAGACTTGTGGAAGAGCATGTGACACTCTTGTTGTGTAAAATAATTTTAAAAGCACCCTGCATTTAACAAATGCCATTTGTTTGTTTTTCTTGTGGTATGGATGTATAATGATAGATAAAACATTTGTTTTGTATTGATTCCAGCTTTCTATCAGCTACCTTTCCAAAAAACTGTTGAAAATTACATGTTGAATAATACAATTCCTTTGTTCATGGGTGTTTGCATGGCAGACAGGTGTATTGAATTATCTATTAAGCTATTAGATATTCATTTAACACCCTGACCACTTTAGTCTGTGACCTGGAGAGACATGGAAAGTCAGCTCTTCATCCACTTCACTGGACCAGGTCAACCAACTGTGAACATGTGCACGAACGCTGTTGAATGAACGTTGGCCTTTATAAATAATTCACAAATAGTGCTGAGGAGTTTCAATTTAATGAGAAATGTCAAAGGAGTCAGAGTAGTTTGGTCATGTTTTCTATACAGGTTTACGAACAAAAACTACAACATCCAAGACGAGGGAAGCACACTGCAGAAAACTGCAAACCTGCAGAGGAATGGTGGAATAATGCTGAAGTTTGTGTTTTTTTCTAGCAAAAAGAAGCGGCAGCAGCTCTAATGCAACAGAGCAAAAAGCATCTCTTACAAGATAAAATGTCGAACCACTGTTGTTTGGTGACGACCTCCTGTCTGAGCAGCTTGAGGACGATGGGTCGCATCAGGTCCCACTTGTCCTCAAATAGCAGAGAAGGACATGAGACAGTTCTGGGTCTGTCCCGAGGACTCCTCCCAGGGGTACATGCCTGGAAAACCTCCAAAGGGAGCTGCCCAAAACCCCTCAACAGACTCCTTTAAGAAGCATTTTGGGGTTATTCGCTCTAAACAGGTAACTTTTAATAAGACATTAAATCTCTATTGACAAATGACATTAACATTTTTTTAAGGGAAGCATGTCATACGTTCATGAGTGTGCCAAAGTTTTAAATAACAATTTCATGCGGTTATTAGTGCTTGGGTTATTCGTTAGGGATCAGTCTCAGCTACTACTACACCAAGTTTTAGGCCAATATCAGTAAAACTGACTGAGCTTTACCCATTTTTGTGGTTTGTACGATTGGTTGGCTGTGGCATCCGTCTTAAATTGGGCTGTCTCCAAAAGTTAATCAACTGTAAATGTTCATCTATTAATAAATTTCTGGGCGTTTTCTTAAATTCCAATCAGGAGATGATGAGATATTTTGCTAACAAATAGAGGGACAGCAAACAGGATTGCTCGCCTTTTATGAAGTTTGAAGGACAGGAAGAGAGCTCCATTCATGTTCAACAGAAAAACTTGTCCGACAAAGCTAAATATTTCAAAAAGTACAAATTGCGTGAATGCACCAAAAGTCACAGCACAACTGTCCTGAATGGGCCGAACATTTTGATTTATGAATTGTTGGAAAATGTTTATAGCAAACCAGACAGACTGAGGCACTGATGTCTGTGGACAGATTTGTCTCTGAAATTTGTTGTGATGGCACTAAATTTGTCAAACATTCAATCTCTTCTCATTGAAGATTACATGTTACTGAAGTAGTGCTGTAGCTCACAGCAAATACTTTCTTGTGTAAATAAATCTGAGTGTGTTTGACGTTACTAAGGGAACATTTGACTTCAGCTACCCTGACCTTTCAAAACCCTTATCTACTTCATTTTTCCCTGTTGAGGTTTCCCAGCTTGTGGGCCACTGAGCGACAGCTGGTTTGGATGGGTTTGTTTCTATAAGTTCAGATATGCTCAGTGGAACATTAATAGCCTAG